TGCTTTGGCATGTAACCTCATTTAACTGCCCCTGCTTGAGTCTCTGTCAGTAAAGTGCTCAAGTGTATGGAGGGAGTGTCTGTATGATGCCACTGCAGTTTAAATGTCCATGCCAGAGCAGCTGGGGTGAGGATTGGGCAGCTCGAGTTTGCTTGTGAGGAGGGGAGCAGCCTTTGGACGCAGCAGGTCTTCTAAACACAGCCAAGAGGAAAGGCTGCAGTTCCCCATACCATCAGCAGCTGGTTCAGCATGCCCTGTGCATCCCAATGCTCTGAAAGAGTTTATGTCCCTGAGTTACCTGTGGGGCAGGGAGATTCCAGAGCTCCTGATTCAGTGTTTTGGGGGATGGGGTTTATAGAAGAATTGGGCCTACTTCCAAAACCAGGAGCACAGAGTGCTTACTTGTTTGAGTTTTAACTTTGGTTTTAAATTAGTATAGTGCCCCAGACAGGTGTCTGCCCTCCCAGCAGGGCAGAGTCCTCTGTTCCTGCCAGGGAGCAGTCCTGGCACTGGCAGCAGCTGGACAGAGCTGACCCGACAGCCCTGTCGGAGCTTGGTCTGAAGTGACAACCTTCAAGGGAGCAGCAGAAGCACTGTCCCTCTGTGCCAGCTTCTGGCCTCACCTTGTCAAGGGGCTTTGAAGAGCTCGTGCTGAGGGTCTTCCACAATATCTCCTCTCCATTATGGACATCACATCCAAGGACTGCCTGTACTTTTGGGTACTGCATTCCTTGAAATCAAACTTTGAAGCTCTCTCTGTGTCCTGTATCACAAGCAGATGACATCTTGCTAAAAAGGAGCAGCATTTTACTCTCTGCAAAATGCAAGGAAAGGCATGTTGCTATTCTTCGTTCTGCTGGAGTATAACATGAGGCCAAGGTTCTTGTGCCTTTAAGAAATACATCTATTTGATGTTACTTTTAATATGTTAGTGCCATTTTTGTTGCACAAAGTAGAATCACAGGGAAAGAGGGGAAAAGAAGGAAAAGGGGGAAAAGGGAAAGAGTGAAACAAAATATCTACAAGCAAAACAATGTCTAATGAATCCAGAGCTTTTAGGCTGTGAAGAATTTGCCTGGCATCCAGGCTGGCTAAGTCTCCTTTTTCTTTTTTTTTCTTTTTTTCTTTTTTCTTTTTTTTTTTTTTTTGTTCTGTATCATTAGGCTTCCTTGAACTTTAACTGAACCATGAGGAAACTATGAAAAGTCTCAATAGCTGCCCTGTGAGGATTTGACTTACCCATTGGATCTGCTATTTATAGTGTCCATTAGTACAGAAATGTCTGTCCTTTTGCAGCAGCCATGTATAGCAAAAGCACTGCTCTTCTGGTGAACTGCCTGTGCCTCCTGTGTCACCCAAAATATCCATCAGCAGAGTGTTCATAAGCCTTTCTCCATTAAAAAACCCTGCCAAACAAAACAAAACAAACAAAAATAAAGCACAAGCCCAGAGGCCATTTGTATTTTTATTTACTTATTTTACATAGCATGAAATTGAAATCCCCACTTTTCAGGAGGCAACCTTCCACCCCCAGACGTATCTCCCTGTGGAACATTGTCTTTGTCCCAAGGAAATTACCTCAGGAAGAGAACTGAGAGAGTGGGAACTGTCTTCCAGACTCGGAGAGCTCAGTTGCACCAGAGAACCAGGCTAGATGGGAACAAGTATAAATTCTGTAACAAAAGAGATCATTTTTTATAGGGATCGGTCTTACCTTGCTAGGAGAAGGGTTGCAGTAGCTTGGCTGATAGAAAACAGTTCCCCAAGTGGGTTTCCCTTGGTACCTTTGCTCCAGGGTACTAAATCTGGTTTACATTTGCATATTCTATATCAGAAATTCATGGGAGCCTTTTCTTAAATTTTTCATGTAAAAATAAGCTTAAAAAATTTATTCTCTTATCAGTCTTCCTTGTTGAGTCTTGATTTGTTCACCTGAGCTAACAGTATAGACTTGATGATGTTGCTTTTGTCAGTGGTGTTGTCATTAATAGATTCATGGAAATTTTGACAGGAGGGCCATGTGTCACATCCTCCAGGTGTAAAGTGGTGGCAGGAACTGGCACGGGGTCTCCTGGAGCTGTGAGACTCTGTGAGCTCTGAGCTGTTCTCTGTGCTCAGCAAAGCTGTCGGGGCAACACTCTTTCCTGCTCTGAAAAGGCAGCATCTGAACAGCGGTGTCTCAGGTACCCAAGGATGCTGTATGGAAGAGCAGTTTATGTCCCACCCATGCAGGGTGCTGCAGCACACCACGGGCGTGGGGAGGACACCTCGTGCCTGCAGGAAGAGGATAGGCCAAGCTGCAGGTTCGTTCTCCAGGTTTTCCCTTGTTCTTTGCAGGCTGCTTGTGCCTCACAACACAGGGAGCTGTCAGGGCTTGTAAAGATTCCAGATTTGCGTCCAGTCCACTGCTCTGCAGCAGCAGCACCATGTGAGAGTCTAGGAGGGTCTGGGAAGTGTCTGTTCTGTGTTTCTCACAAGAGGAAGGAACCAAGAGGTGCTGAGAAGCATCCCCAGCATCCAGCAGCTGTGGAAGCAGGAGAAATTCAAAAAAGTCCCAAAACGAGGTGCAGGCCTTGGAAAGGCAGCCGGGAAGATTGCTGGGCTTTAAATCAATATCCCTGTTCTTTCAATATCCCTATCTTTCTGTAGGACTGGCCACATGTGTGACTTGATTTATGAGGTTATGGTGCTCTATTCGATCTACTTAACCACTGAGGGGAGTTTGATCTCACACTAGGGGCATGTTGTTGAATGGAAGAAGAGAGAACTAGAGCTGCTGTTTGCAGTCTCCTACTGCTAGCAGGCAACTATATCATATGTAGTCCTTTTCGTAAATGTATCAAGCCCCATCTCAAAGCCAGTTAATTTGTTTCCTCTTATGTTGAAGGCTTGCAGCACTTCACTCCACTGACAGTAGGAAAGCGGCATCTTTGGATTTCTAGTCTGAATATGTCCTTGGCAGGTTTATATTCATATATTTTGGGGTTAACAGTTTTTCAAATCAGCTTATTTTTTTCATTGCTTGGTAGTTCTGACATATTCATCTATCTCTGTTGCTATTGGCAGGAGCCAGTGGAGCTGTTGCAGTCACTGCCCTACAGGTGACCAGTCAGGAGGGAAGTGAATTGTAAGATATAAATACCAACAATTAGGAATGTTGTTTGCCAGTGGGTGGGGATTTTTAATATCTCATTAAATAGTTTGTTCAAAAGAAAGATTAACCTAGCACTTTGGTTTTAGACAAACGTGGCTGTGAAATTCTAGTAACTCACATCTATGTTTGTTTGGGGGAAAAAAAATCAGCTTTTCTAAATGACAAACAAAGAGGAATAACTTTACATTGAAAGTACAAAGGAAATCTGTAAGAGTACTAGCTGTGAAAAGAAATAATTATTAATCTAATGGATGGTGTCCCTTGTCAGCATGGTTGCTGTGAAGTTATATGTAGGGCATTGATTTAAATATACTTGCCCTTCCTGGCCAGTCCTTGTCTGAAGGACACAGTAATGGGTGAGCAGAGAGCTTTTATTCCTGCCTCCGGGATGATGATTAACGGGGGGGCTCTGACAGGAGCAGGATGTATTGACATCTGCCATCACAGCCCTCTGTCCCCACGCGGGGGCTGGAGCAGCACTGAGGTTTTGTTCTGTTCTCAGGTGTGTGCCCAGCAGAGCAGCTGGTGGGCTGTGACCATGCAGCTTGTGGCCTTCTCTGAGACTCAGCTGTGACTGCATTGGAAACAGCTCTCAACCAGCACTTGGATAGAGCTGGAGATTGAGGGGGTTTATTTGCGCTGAGTTTGGCTGAGAAAGAGGAATATACTACTAATGACTAAGCGACAGTGGGCTAATATGCAGATAAGAACAAGAGACCCTTTTTCTCCAAATTATTTTGCAGATGGTTCTGCTGGATCAACCCTTAAGAACTTGATGTGTTAGATCAAAGGTACCTGAACTGCCTGTAGGGCAGGAAGCCTCTCTGGTTATTCCCACATGCAGCTGTATGCCTGATGACATTTCACTGTACCTTTGAGTGGGTCTGGAGCCAAGATGAGACACAGCTTCTCAGTTTCAAAGTATTTGCTCCTTCAGTGGTCCCACTGCTTCCCTGTGGTCACCAGAGCACCCCGTTCCTCAGCCCCTCTCGGCCGTGCCACACTTTGAGGGTGGTGGGGAAGATCATAGCGTGGTTCCCATGGCACCCGGGTCTGTCAAGCCTGAGCCGGCTCCATGCAAGTCCCCTTCCCTGCTCCAAGCACAGCAAGAGTGACAGTTGGGAGCCAAGCCCATGGCCGAGATGGGGACCCAAGAGCCCATCCCACAAAAAAACTGTTACCCACTACAATTCCTCTGCGTGCTACTCAGACCTACTGTTTAAATAAGGCTATGAGTGGCAGCCTTAAAAGGGGTGAGGAAGACAGAGTATGCATTTTGTTTGTACAGAAATGTTAGTCGGCCCTTCTTTTTTCAAGTCCCTCATCAGCATAGATGGCTGTCTGGGAAGTGCATACTGAGTGTGTGCTGTTGAGGAGGAAATAGCATCCAAAGTGCATGTTAGAATGCAGCTCACTGCATATATTAAATGTCAAGAAATCCCATTACTCAGCTGGCCATTCTACCCCTGTTTGCAAAACAGTACCTGCAAAATTTCTTCTAGACATTTAATAAATGATCATCTTAAAATTTTGCAGTTGCTGCACATTATCCCTATCAGAAAGAACATTTAATAATGATGCTTTGTGTATTTTGCTGTAAAGGCTGGGCTCCTGATTTTTATAAATATTCAGCATTTTCCGCTGAGATATCTTTGGAATATCTGGTCCTTCTATTTTATTTTTAATTGATTTTCTTGTATTTCAGGGAAAAAGATTACCTTTTAAAAATGGATTAAGTCAGCCTCCATTTTTTATTGATTAAGCTAATCTTTATGATTTTAAAACACCATTCTGATTAGCATGCTTTTCTTTTTTTTTTTTTTTCCTGACTTTGCTGCTGCCACAGAAGAAGTGTCTGCGAGGATAGTACAAGTAGTAACAGCTGAAGCTGTAGCAGTTCTGAAAGGTGAGCAGGAAAAAGAAGCCCAGCACAAAGATCAGCCCGGACCTCTACCTTTAGGTAAAATGAGACAAAGAATGTTCCGAGTACCCTCGTGCCTGCAAACGTTGTGTGTGTGTGTTACAAAATGCAGTGCCAGCCATGTGTTCACCTTGGTTACGGTCACGGGTGAAACACAGCACCTCTGGATAATACTGGAACCACATAATACCTATGGCAGTATCCTTGCATTCCTGGTTCTTTGTGCCCTGTGACTGTCTCATTCCCCAGTTCTCCAGCTGGTGTCTGGCTCCATAGTGGCACAGCCGTGAGTGTTATTGGGGGCAGGGGTTTCCTCCCTGTGTTTGGTGGGACCCTTTGTGCTCAGCCGTGTACAGTGTTGAAGGATTGATGTCTGGAGAGGCAAAGGTGGAGGAGAGCATATAAAAGGAAGTGAGGCTTTGCTGGTTGGGTGGTAGCTGCTCAGATAGGGGGAGGAGGAGCACCTCAACAGGAAGCAGAAAGGAATGGGACACAGCAGGTGAGGGCGGAGAGGGATTAGCAGCTGGGCGGGGTGAGGGGAGATTGTGGAAAAAGGAGTCACACATGGTAGAAGCAAATGCCAGTGGTCTAAACTGGGAACAGTACCACTGCCACTGGACCATACCATGTTCCCACCCTCCTGCTGCCTCCTTTGTGAAATCTCTCTCTGAAATATGTGTGTATATACTTATACCTGTATATATATAAAAGAAGGTAGGTATACAGCCTTTTTTACCTAAAGTGCTTCCTCCTTGCCAGAAAAACACAGTAGCTCAAAACACGTACACGAAAGGCCAGAAAAAGGCCATAGTCCATCCTGAGGTAGGGAAGTCTTTCAGGCCTGCCCTGGACAGGTTTTGCTGAGTGCACCTACATTGTAATTAAATCAAAATAATGCCTTGTGGTATTTTCCCCACAGACACTCCACGTGCTTCAGTGCAGTGGCTGGACCCTGCCCAGGGATGAATTAAAGTCAATGACTAGTTTAGAATATTTGTGGAAAATTTGGTTCCTGAGATCTTTTGCTTCATTAAACTAACTTTGAACTGCAGCAGGGACACGTCAGCTGGTAATTTCATTCTTTGGAGACACTCAGTTTTACATGGAATACCCCAATTTTGTAAATGGCTTTTTTTTAAACATTGGTTAAGCCCCAGGAGTGGATCTGTTTTTAAAGAAAAAAAATTCTCAAAGTGATTGGTAGGAGATCAGGTGCAGAGGTTATTCTAAGTTCATTTAAGAAGCAGTTTGTTTGAGATTTCATCATACTTGAATTGAAATAATTTTAAAAAAAAATCATCTTGTTTCAGCATCTAGTCTTGTGACTGGGAACAAATCTAAACCCTAATCTAAGTGCATCTAAGTTTTCACTGTGCCTTGCTCAACTGAATCACTGTTATGTCACGACTGACATTAAGTTCCCTATGCTGATGTCTTTTGTATTTAGACAAGCAATATTTGCATGTTTTCTGTGATAAACCTTGAACTCAGCAGAAGAAAAGAAAATGTGAAGAATGTTTTTTATACACGTACTCAAGGTAGATGGAAGATATTGGATGCCAGTTTCTGATAGCTGGCATGAATTTATAATATCTCTCATGCTCAGATGCTTTATTTGTGTTACCTTGGGTGACTGAAGGTTTTCTAAGCAATACTGATTTAAAAGATTATCTTTTACTTGATATTTATATTGTACTCTATGCCAGAATCTTGTAAATAATTCACACCAAAAAACAGAGCAAACCAAAAAAATTCTTTTATTTTAACTGTCTGTGTATTCTGCAAGGGTCTGTCTGAAAATCCAGTAGACATGAGTCCCCAGTGGGACTCATGGAATGAGGAATTATCCTCAGCTGGGCAGAACAGGCTGACTGCAGCTTTCATCATGCATTGGTCTTCCTGCAGTTAATTGCTGTGTCTCATTTTCACCATTCAATTCCTAACAGCAGCTGAAGAGTCAGCTAACCTGCCTCCTTCCCCGCCTCCGTCGCCAGCTTCTGAGCAGACTGGAGCTCTGGAGGAAGGTAAGGGTCCTCCTGGACATTGCAGTGCACAGCTGTCAGCAGAGGGATGAGACATGAATCTAAAGGATGAGGGAATCAGAAAATGGAGATACTTTCTGCTCCTTCATGTGAAAAGATAAGGCATTCCCAGCAATAACTCCCCATCTTCAAACCAGCTGCAATGCATGGATGAGGTAGACACATGCACAGAGGTAACCGACAGGATATGTTAACTATGTCCATACTAAAGAAAAAGAGGTGGTGCTGCTCACCTTCTTGTCTGTTGTATGCAGTATGAGCCAAGGTGTCTGCTGTCCCAGTGTGGTTGCCAAAACTGTGATTCAGTATGGGTCATCTTTCTTTCCTTAATATTTGTTTGGCTGCTTTTTTTTTTTTTAACTACCATTAGCTTTGGAATCTTAAATGCATGAAAGCAAGGAGATTCAGAGTTGAATCATTTCTTTGGCCCTCAACTGATAATTCATGCTTCAGTGCCTGCATGTGTTGGGGGTTCTGTACACAAAGTGCAGCAGTCACATTCTAGTCTCACAAAGCAAATTTCTGTTCTGTTCTGCACAATGAATGTTCGATGTCAGTAGCCCATAATCACTGCATTTTCCTCCTGCTGAAATCTCCTCCAGTGAAGAACTGAAGTGTTGACTTAACATTAAGCAGAGGCCTAAATGCCAGTGAAGTTTTTGCAGTGTAGGCATGTGCTCAGTGCTTTGTTCAACAGAAGACGACTGCTGCATCAAGGCCATCCATACAGGGAGACAGCAGTGTGTCAAAACTGAGCTGTGTCACGGGGAAAAGAGAGAAACATTTGGGTTTGGAATCTCCAGGGGACTGTCAGTTGAACTCTGCCATATCAGTAGCATCTTTCTGTGTCCATTTATTTCCTTCTTGGATTTTCTTTTAGCATTTTCTCTTTCTTTTTTGTTACATAAGTGCATGAAAATAATTTCTTATCATCTGCTGAACAAACTTTGCTATTTTAACACACAACCTCTATGAATTTTGCAAGTGGATGGTTGTTATTTCATGTGCTAGCATAGTCTGACTCTCAGTTTATTAGGACACTGCAATCAGGCATGTTCCATCTTGCAGTCATTTTTGACACAATGCTATTGCAAGGCTATTGTTAACAACATTTGTCAGTCCACTGTACTTGAAATACCTACTGGATGTGGTTAGTAACCAATATAAAGAACTTGATTAATTGATTACTGTGTTTTTAAAAAAAACATGGTGCCCACTGTGTGTTTAAAAAAATATTACAACAGTCCCTGGATTCATCACCCAGAGGTAATGGCTATCAGAACTATTGACTGAAAAGTGGTAAGGCATTAGCGAAGGTTTTTAGAATTGTTACCAGGATTTTACCACTGTTTTCTAATATATAGTTCACTTGGCTAGTCCAGCGTATGCTTTTTAACTTTTCATATCACAGTAATGAGCATGTTCTTCTGCTTCAGGCCAATGTCAAGGTTCTTCCATTAGCCTCAGGCTGAGAATTAACTTTGCTTGCTGTTTCTGTCAGCTGTATTTTTTGCATTTATTTTAGGATTTTGTAAAGTACTTATATTGATTAATTGGCAGGAGGTTGTAAATTACCCCCTAAGCAAATTGGAAGTATTTTGCTAGTTGTACTAACACAGGAAGGTGGCAAAACACTATACAACTTGAGGTTATTATCAGCTGCCAGACCCTGCAGTTCCTAGCTCTGTTAATGACTCAGCAACTCATATAACATTGTTGGTTTTCTCCTTCCTTGCACGTAGAATTGAGTTAATATAATTAGTTACTATTAAGTAATATAATATCACTAACCCCACAGGGGTGGTTACATGAACTGAAAGGTCAGTGTTTGGGAGATGTTTCTGATTATTTGCAATGTCATGGTTATTAAAAACATTGAAGACTTTTCCATGACAAGATTTTGATTCAACTCTTCATTTTTCAGAGCAGATGACCAGTTCATAGAGGAAGTAGGGACAGAAATGATGTGCTGAGTCATTAATGCACTCTGCTAGAAGCAGAGTTCATGTCCAGCTCTCAAACTGGAACTCACAGTAGAGTTGGTTGACGCAACAGAAGGAACTTGGAAATAATTTCGCCAGAAATATATTATGTTGCTTTTCCCCAAAATACCAATATTGTCAACTCAAGGTACTTAATGGTAGTAAAAATCTTGTGTTCTTCTCTGCTGGAAGATGAGGGTCCTTGTTTTCTGTGGGTAAGTTGAGTTTTTGCTGACCTGAGTGAGCCAGACCTGTCGTTTTTATTCAGGCAAAGCTCCCGTTGAGAAGAGTTTACCTCAGTAGGGTTTGACCCAGTTTTACTGTACTTGTTTAAACCTCCCATTCCCTATACCACCTGGCTGTCCATCCTCATGCATCTTTACGTTGTCTGTCTTTCTGCTCAGTAGAATACAATTTATTAATTTGTTGAACAAAAACAGTGAGCATTTGGTGTATCTGCCTCAGACCTTTTTTCCCCTTCTCCTAGAAGCTTTTCCTAATGCACTTGTCAGTGTGTGTTGTATTGCTTTGAATCCAAGAGACTTCCTTCAGTCATAGTAGGAAGGAAATCACTGTTGTAGACATGACAAAGGTAGATGTGGCCAGCCATGCAGCAAACACAATTTAAAAAAAAAAAAAAAGGTAGAAAAGACAGAGAGGTTTGTGGGTCAACTGTATTTCACGAGAGAAAGGAGTCTGTGGAGTAGGTTTCTTTGATTTGGCTGCAGAAAAATATTCAAATGAACCTGTCCCTTTTAACTGCTGCAGAAGGTAAGAAAATTATTTGCCTTATTGAAATGATTTCATTTATATTGACTATAATAGGATAATTTTGTTCAGGAAATTAAATTCTCCCTTACACCCTCTAATCCTTTTATCAGTTATATCTAGTCATGCAGGGCTGATGCAATATTCTCTTGCCAACTTGGCATTTCTTTTGTGCTCCATGCCTTTTGACAATGGTCAATGATGTCTTCATGTAAAAATTTTCATAAATGTTACAGGATAGAAGGATGCCTTTGATGGACTGTCTTCCATTTTAAAATAGGCATTTCATGTTAGGCTTTATATACCAAATAAGAATGTTTTGCAAACTGAAAAGAATCAAGTGGCCTATGAAAATGGATCTGTTGACAGGGAAAATTACTTCTTGAAAGGCATTCTCAAAATATACATGGAAGCTGAAGCAGAATTAGCCTTTGTGAGAAGTGATTTTAATCTTAGACTTCAGAATGCATTAGGGATTTTTCCCACGCTCTGAGATGGAAAAGATTGGAAGGGACTAAAATAACAAAAGACTTTTCTTGTTGCTGAAATAAAAGAATATCCTCCTTTAAAGACATCATTATGCTGTTAATGAAATTATCTGCAGTAATTTTGAAAATATCTTTATTCAAACTGATAAATAATGTAAATCTGTAATAGCCACATATGTAACAACCCCGAACAATACAAGACTTCACACTCCTAATGATTTGGACCATCACAATAATAAGGTTTTTTACTGTTGTCAGTTCTCTTGTTTTAAGGAGCAGTGGCAGGGCCTGTAGTTTCTTGCCTACAATCCATTTAGAGCCTATAAAGAAGGAATTTTCAGCTTTGTTTGCCTCAGTATAGAGAAGTTCTGGGAATTCCTCTCCACTCTTGTCAATGCATTTTGCTTTTGCAGGGTCTCTGGATACATATAACCCAGCTGGAAGGAGAACCTCTCCTTTGGCACATCCTCCTTCTCTGTGTTCTGCTTCTGACCATATCAGCCTTTGCTTTTTTCTCCGGTTCCAGCAGAAGAGGTGGCAAGTGTGTCAGCTCATTCCACTCTTGCCCTCAGTAATACAGGGGCTGGTGTGAGGGCACCATGCAGAGGAGTGGGAATTGCAGTTCTGAACCTTCTTGAGTTTAGGAGGGAGTTGATTCCTGGTGTCTTGCCCTCTGAGCTGTGGGCTCGTCCCCTGTAACTTGCCTTTTACAAACTGTGAGACCCCTCAAATCTGTTACAGAATTTTGGAGGGGCTTTTGCGGAGAAGAAATCCCACTTTTTCTGCATTGCAAATGGATCAAGGTTGCTGCTTCCCTGTAACCTTGCTGCTGGCTCTTGAGTACTAGAGAGAAGTGGGAAGCTTAGGCCCAGCCCTGCGTTTAGTATTTCCTATTGCAGTGCTCTGCAGAGCTTCCTGCTTGGCAGAAGCTGGTTACCAGATTATCTTTCCACACCTACCTCTTTTAATAATGCATAAACCCCTGAATCTGGGGTTTGGATTCCACTACAAGAGTGAAGCAGGTAAACTATGAGTGATTTGGGCACTTTTTATGCCCTGACAGAAACAGTGAGAACGGTTTGCTTAAACCAAGTTCTGTAGATGGTATCTGTGTGTGTGCAGGTACACCAGCATACCAGCTACCAGTACTGCCATGGATTGCTAATTTTCCTTCCTTTCTTAGGGTGATTGAGCCTGAATGGGTTGCTCCTACAGCATTCCTTTCCCAGGTAGAAGAAATCCATGTCATTACAGGACACTTGCTTTCTGTTGCCGCAGAAAGCAGAGGATGCTTTTTTAAAGACACAGGCATTGTCTTGTCATGGTGTGCTATAAAAAGAAACTTAGAACTTACTGTTGTTTGCCAGGAAGAATCTTATACCTCTTATAAATGGAATTGTTTTGGATCAGCGTTGCTTCCCCAGATTGGGTAACGGCAGTTAGAGCAGCATTCGTGAGCCATCTTGTTTGGGATCACACACAGAGATCTGGTTAATATCTGTTATTGTGCCTGTGTTAAAGCCTTGCTTTCTGACTCCATGTTCTGGATCTGAGAGTGAAAGTTTCAGAGGCTCTGGGGAAATTCTTTAAGTTACAGTTGACTGGAGGAAGACCAGGGACACCAAGCATTGACTTGTTCCTGAAGCTAATAGGAATAGCTGCAGGTGTGTGAGGCACACCATGAATGCAGTGTTCATCAAGCTGCCAGGTGTCATACACTGAGAATGGGCTTAAACTTCTTTTGTCTAGCAATAGGTGTTTAGTTTTTTCATAGCTTTATTCATGACGAGAGGACACCTCAGCCTATGTGAGCTCTCAAGTCTTCCCTCTAGGTTTGTATACACAGATCAGGTGCTAGGCCAGTCGTTTTCATTGGGTAGTATTATTTTCCTTTTTCTTGCAAAAAACAACTCAAGCTCCTCCTCCCTGTAGCTGTCAGTAGCTAGTGTAGTCCTGAGATGATTACGTGATTTTCTGCAGTGCTACAGTGATGGGTGAATAAAGCTGTCATTCCGAAGCATTAGCAAACACCAAGGTGGGAGCTAGTTCACCCATGAAAACATGGCACAACAGCATAAAATATAGGACTAAGAGAGACTGCTCTCAGCAGCTTTGTGTGGCCTTTATCAAGGAAAAAAAAGTAGCTGTTTGGGGAACGGTTTTTATGATTGTTTAAATGTTACTTGTTTACAGGGAAAAGAAGAAAGTGGGGAATTTTGAAATAGATATAATGAAAAATAAAACCACCATTGGCCAAAGTGTAAGCTGGTTTTCTTTTTAGTTAAGGGACTTTTTAATTACATTTTTAAGTATTTTATGTGATGACTATGAGGTGATACAACTGTATCAGGACACTTCAGAGGTTTTTAATACAGTCAGGTATAACATAGTTGTGACGTGGTTTTTGTGCAGTGTTTTCCTCTAAATAATGTGTGTACTTTTGAAATTCACTTACTGCAGTGGTTGGGTTACAGTGTTTGCAAAGCCAGTAGGAAGCACCTCGGATGCGGCCCATGTGTTAGAATGCACGGCTGGCTCACTCCTCCATCCTGCATCACCCGTAACCCGACTGGTGTCATCCACTCTGCAGCATGACGTAGTGGCTGGTGTTGTTAGAGCATGCGTCCATCCTGTCTGGTGTTTTCTGTGTCTTTCTGTCTGTCCTGCAGCGTTTGTCTGTGTGTGTCTATTTGTAGATGAAGGGGCGGAGGATGAGGTGGGACTGCTCCAGCACTGCCCCAGCTGTGGGCCTGCTGCCAGCAGGGAGTGGCATGAACACCTGGCCCCCTCCATCTCAGTGTCTGTGCCCAGTGATGAGCCCTACCATTCCGATGAGGAGTACTATGAACACCCTTTGTTCAGCTCGGAGTGGACTGGCTCTAGTACACATCCCAGTGCCACAGTGAAGAGCACAGAGGTCTTGTTGGGCCATGATGAAGGTGAACTGAGCATGGTCCAGTTTGGTTCCTCTTCCCCTCTACCCACCTGCCATCCATTCCATTCCGTATGTACCTGAGATTGCTGCCTTCTGGGGAGGGAAGCCTAGATGTATTTTCTCCCCACATGGAAGTGACGCCTCTCAAAGAGTCTCTTCATGTCAAGGTAAAGCTGCGGCATGAGCAGTGTAAATGCAGCTTTGGGGTCACTGTAACCACGGTCCCTGCTCAAATCAGGGCTCTTGGTCTCCAGACCTGGCTTATAGCAGGAGAAGGAGCAGCTAGTTCAAAGAAGTGGAAGCTAATTTTTTCTTTGTGCCAGAGAAATACTACCAACAACAATGTGCAAACTAGGCCAAAAGATGGTTACTGGTTACTAGGCCAAAAGTTGTTAACTCAATGGGGAAAAAACCCACATCTGTACCAAAGATAGCTGTGGAAGGTCTTTAATCTTCTAGCGGGCAAAGTAAGTAAGTCTTACCTCAGTGTACATAGGTGATTTCAGCCAGTAATGGGTCATGTTTGACTTCCAGTTGTTTTGTGGACACATCCCGTTAGCATTGTGCCAGCTGACTGCAAACAAGGAGGGGAAAAAAGGTTTACTATCTCTCTGTACCTCCTTTTTCTATGACCTGAGCACATTAGTAAAGTAGTATTTTATTAGTAGGGGTTACATAAAAGTGAAATGGCTTTTGAGGAATCAAGGGAGAATCTATTTCAATGACTAACAGGAAAGCTCACTTCTTCAAGGCAAAATAGATGACATTTGATTTCTCAGCATTTGACTGACTCAATCTTGGGACACAGGAGCTGAAGTTAAAAGTAGTACTGAAAGGTTTGTGTCTCAGGAGGATGGAGCTGTGTACTTGAAACTGCTCACTGGGTCACTTCAAGAAAACCAGAGTTGTTCTGAATTAACAGGACAATATAGCCTGTTAACTGCAACACCACCAGTAAGATCAGTGCTAATAACTGAAGTTTGTTAATGTTAGCATGTCTGCCTGAAGCTCGGGGAGATAGAAAATCGCTATAGCTGGGGTGCCTGTATCTGTACTTAGAGCACTCCTGGCCTGGTTAATTCATAGGCATCTTCCTTTTCAGTCATGTGCTTCTGGAGAAAGTGCAAGATCTCAGAACATCTATGTGAGGAAGAAAAAAGGGGAATAAGCTGGATCATCAGTGGAAAGATAGTCATTATGAAACAGCCCCCCTCACTTGCTGCCTGTAGGCTGGCAGTCTGCTTGGCATAAGAGTCTACTGCACAAAGGGAAAATGTAGGATTCCTTTGTCAGGGATAACTTTCTAGTTTGAGTAGTTATTTTTAATCATGTAGCATTGTGTGAAGTGTCTCAGGAAATGGAGGTGTATACCTGGAATGGTTTAGAGTAAAATGAGAGGCTTTCCCTAACATTTTTTAGTTGAAAGGGATGCACATACAAAACATCAAATTGGAAAAGGAAAAGTAAAGGAAGTTATTCAAGTCAGGGCCTCTTATAGCTGGAGACCTGCTGTCCTGCCAGGCTGCTTTCACAGTCTGCTCATGTGTAAATATCTCTGTAACGCTCAGGCATTGGTCCAGGTTTGATTCTGAATCTTCTGGCTTCTGTTCATTTAAGATATTGTATCTAACACTAATTATTTTATATGTTATTAATAATGTGTTGTTCTTTACATAATGATATTTTCTCAGACTCAGCTAGTGTTTGTGTTCCTTAAATCACTCTTTAAAGGCCATAATTGAAATGGATGATTGATTGTCTGCTCTTCACTGGGCCAATCTCAGGAGAAAAATCGAGCCCTCGTAAAGAGGTTTTGTGTTAATACCAAGAGGCTGCATGCAGCCACTTATAGATTCGAGAGCACTTTGTTCTAAGTCTGATTCAGCAAAGTACTTAATCATAAGACACACTTTACACCCAGGGAGGTCATCAGGTTGCCTACAGCATGGCTACTGGTCAGCTGCTTAACTGTGTTGCTGAATCGGAGGTTTCACATTTAATCCTGACTTCTTATCAGGGGGAATGCTAATAGTGCATAGTAATTTCAGCTGAGTAGCAGTGGCAGGAGTGCAATTCCAGAATGGAGACTTTTCTAAACGTTTTCTGCCATGGCATGAGTAAAGACTGTTCTTGATACTACTCTACTGATTCTAACAGCCCATAAGGTGAGCGATATATTTTAGAGATTCAGATGAACAAATAGTTACGTTGAATTCACTGGTTTCTTTGACTTAATTGGTGATGAGGGGGCTAGTGGGGAAACAGCAAAGGAAATGAAGAGTCCTTCTGTTAAAATGGTGATTTTCACATACAGATTTCAGATGTCAGCTTAAGGGAGAATTTGTTTGTAAACCTGTTCAGTGTAGAAATATTGGCTGAAATCTTGCAAAAACCATTAGTTATCAGCCATGCACAAGGCCTGTTAAGGCTCTGGAAGTACTCAGTATTTTGCCAAAGATTCACTTTGCTGGTATGTAGCAGTCAGTATTACCAAGGTCAGTGGAAAGAAATCAATGCCTTATACCTTCTTCCACCTCAGCTGAATGTCTGGTACTGGATTAAACAGCACATATATCAGAAACATATCAGTGTACTTTGAACACATTGATGCATTGATGTTTTCAGAGCCATCCATCATTCAATACCATCTCCATTTGCAATGACTATTTGACCCACAGTCATCTTTGGGAGAGGTATACCTCTAAGACACTTTCAGCTCTCCTCTTACAGCATAAACATGTTTCTCTGGGGGAGACAGGCTTTCAGTTTGGTTTTTTTCCCTAATGAAAATTCAGTTCCATGGTGACCAAAATGGACTGGATGCTAGCAGTCCTTTGACACCCTTAAATCCAAAATGTTGAGTTGAAAGTGTTAAGTAAAAGCAGTCCTGTTCAGCTATGTGCTTGGTGTTTACTGTTGGTGTTGATGTCACCTCCTTTTTCCATCCCCAAGAAGAAGAACCGATAAAAAGTCCAATGTCTGTGGAAGCCAAACCTGCTGCTCTTCCTGGGAAGCAAATGGGGAAAGAGCGCGGGCCCACTGAGCCTTCGGACCAGGCCAAGGGCCTCTGTGAGGGTCAGCCGGATTCTGGTTCGGAGGCCAAAGTGTGTGGTGAAGACAAAGTGCCAACTGTGGCATCCAGCAGGGACAGTGTAACTGCTGTGGTGGGAACACCCCTGAAAGACATACCCCCTTCCTCGGCTGAGGAAGGTGTGTCCTCCTTAGCTTTGCATGTGTCTGCCGCTGGTGAATCCTCCTCCAGCTTTCTCCAGTGCTTTCCAAGGCTGCTTCATTTTCTGTTTCTCCCATTTATTAGTATGACTGCTCTTGTTATTATGCTTGAAGAGTGTGTAGCAGATAATAAGATTGTGTAGGTGCTGTATGACAACATGGTTTCCCACCGCTGCGGCTGATTCCTGATTTTTTACTTTGCCATGATGAAATGTGCTTTGCAGCTGAGCTGATTCCTCTGCATAAGCCTTTTTTGCCCATCTCAGATGTGTTTGCCAGTCACATTGCTAATCTGTGTATATTTTTTTTCTTTTTGGTGCAGAGATTCATCTGCGTTTCTTTTAAACAGCAGATTTATTGCCTTTGACTATGACATAAAGATGCTTAAACTGTAGAAATGTTTTCTTTTGCAGTGTGCAGGTTTTTTGTTTGGTTGGTTTGGTTTTTTGTGTGCGCTTCAGTGCATTCTGGTTTAGCTTCCTTAAAGCTATTGCTTCTTATGTCATACCCTTGCCATTCATTGAGTCCACCCCTCCCCTCCTCTCCTCAGTCATTGCTAGAACTCTGATTTTTTGTGTGTCTTACCTTATTACAAATGTTTAACCCTCTATAGTGCCCTTCTTAGGAAAAGCTTCCATCACTTCCACTGGGATGTTTGCCTTCAAAGTGAAAGTTAGAGTTGAGTGCATTGGGTGAAGTTCTGATCTGCCCTCTGAACAAAATATTTGCTGCAATAATCTTTCAGTATATAAGAACTAGGCTTCAGGATTTCCCTTTTAATGGTATTTCTCCTCAGCCAGTGCAGCGAGGTTCAAAGACATCTCGTGTGGAGTAGTGATGTACCCACTCCCTCCCTGGCTAAGAAATGCTGCATTTGGGAGGCTGGTGTTCTGGCTGGCCCAGCTGGAGGACATTGAATTCCTTTGGCAGTCAGAATATGTTTAGATACCATTGGTATCTATTCATTTGCACTACAGTAGGATACACAGAGAAAACCAGTATCTAGCTATTTAATTGCTGAGAAACAAAGATGACCAGCCCAATGGCCATGTCTTTATACTTTATAGGATTTTTAAGTCAGTCACCAAATGTAAAAACATAAAGGAGCAAAATTACTGTAGACTTCTAGTTTGGCTACCTGTGGAGTTCAGAATGACAGTTGCATTTTAGACCCAATATTAACATATGCAAATATTTAAAGAATGACCAAAACTTGGATACTAAGTGTTCTTAAAAAAGTCAGATTCATCAGGGCCATGGCTCCATGGACTCCAATGGCTCCATGGCTCCATGGACTTCAGATCAGATCTGAGGAAATTCAGAATCGGCCCAATGCTAGTTGTAACAAGCTTTAGAAAAAAACTCATAAAATTTATTTTTACAGATTACTGCAGAAAGATCTACCACATTCTGCAGTCTCTCCATATTTTCAATGATAGGAAGATTTCAGTGTGATAGGAATCACCATTTTCCATAGGATATTAAAAAAAGATCAATCTATTAATGATTAACGGGGTGTGTATTAAAAAAAATTTACTGGGTATTACTTTCTGAAAATATAGTGACAGAGTATAAGAGTAGTATTTTTAGTTTCAAATTAGCTTAATTAGGGTTAATCAAGTATTCTTTAACTTCAGTTACAGCTGTAGTTGACTGGCCATTTCAAAGACCAGACCTTCAACATCTGGATCTATTAATAGATCTGTTGCTGATTTACACATGGTGGTCTCATGACAGAAGCGAGATTTTTGTCATTTGCCAAAGTGAATGTTAAAAGGTGGTACAATTGAAAAACCAGCCTCTTCTGGCACTTGCAAAACTTTTTGCTTGCATTATTTCTTTAGTTTAGACTGCACGTAGAAGAAAAATGCCAAAAAGATGCAGAAATGTATAAATAAGTATGTTTTAAATATCAGCAGCACACAAATATACTATTGATTCAATTAAAGTTGCAGACTTTACTAATGCAAAACTAACATAAAGGTACAGAGCCCAGCAAAGCTACCAATGACGTGAGGATTATTTGTGGCTTTGCTGTTCTATACAAATCATGAAGATGAAGAATTCCCATGAAATCATCTCATTTCAGTGGTCACATTTATATGTGTAAAACTCACATTTTCACTATAAAACCTCATATATTGAAAGAAAACTAGGATTTAACACTCTAAAGCAGATTTCTAGGTGGATGGCCTTGCTGCATGTCTGCATCTTTCTTCCTCTCCATTCCATCATTCGTACCAAGGTGTTGTAAGCCACATGACTTGCCTGCCTGTTAAGTGCTTTAAATAATATTGTTATAAACCCCAAACAAACTACTTCAGATTTCCTTGCAGCCACGAAGATGGAATTCCGTGTCCAGGAGGGCGCACGCCCTTTCGCAGCAGGACCATTGGACACAAAGCAACATGAATCTGGGAAAGACAGTAAGACTGTTGAGCAACCTAAATACGATGCCTTAGTTCCACAACCAGCAAAAACAGAGGCTGTAGATAAAAAGGAACCAGAGAGCAAAGACAAAATGCCTTCACCTCCATCAGAAAAGGTCTTGGATACTGATTCACAGAAGAAAGGGGAAGCCAGTTTTGCAGAACCTGCTGCCAAACCTCCTGCTCAAGAACAGAAGGACTTGTCATCTCAACTGCCTAAAGGGAGCAGGGCAGAAGACAGGACTGCAGGTGTGCCCTCATCAACCAACCAAGTTATGTCTATCAAATTTCCAGACGACCTTAAAGATGTCCAAGGTGTTGCCATCAGCTGTGGTGAAAGTTCTCTATTGCTGCCGGAACACAAGGCAGAAGCAGCTAAAAGTGAACCTCCTTCAGGCCCATCTCCTGCTGTCCCCCAGGAGCTTTCGCTCAAAGACGCCTTCAAAACAAAACAGGAGCCCAGTAACCAACTGTTTGCCAAAGACCTCAGTAAAGACAAACAGATCCACGGAGACAGGATGTTAGCTCTGCAAGAAGTCTCAGCGCTATCTGTAGATGGCCTGAAGACACCAAGCACCCCAAAAATCCCTCCATGGGGGGAGGAAAAGGACATGACCAAGGATGAGAGTGATGAGGAAGAAAGGTATGACTTCTATGATAAAGGGGAGGCTCGAGTATTAGATGATGGTAAATTAACCACAAAACCTGAAGTTAAAACAATTTCCCTAGACAAAGCAGACTTTCAGAAGGATGGTGAAACTAAAAAGTCACCTGATACTCTCAAAACAGAAAAAGAAAAGGACCGAAGTGTGCTCCCAGCAACAGTAGACATGAAAAAGGAGGCAGAGCCAAGCACACAGCTACTCCCAGCCAAGTTAAGCCATGAATGGACTCTTGAGAAAACAGTAGAGCACCCTGATACCACTCAGTTATCCGGAGTAATAGAGAAAGCCCTTGAGGCACCAGGTTTAACCACTGAAAAGACTTCTAGTCTTGAAGAAAAAGATGTTAAAAAAGATGCCAAGGAGGATAAGACAAGTGTTTCAGCTCCTCATCAAATGAAAGAGGAGGAAGATCGTTCAGGAATGTCGAAGTATTTTGAAACCTCTGCTCTGAAAGAGGAAGCCTTCAAAGCAGATGGTCTGAAACAAGGCAGTGATTACTATGAGCTAAGTGACACTAAAGAGAGTATATATGAGCCTTATCAGAGAGGTCGTCTAATACCAGAAGATGAAGAGGAGGAGGAGGAGGAGGAGGAGGAGGAGGAAGAATTACAGACAGAATTAAATCAGCAGCAGGCTGTGCATGCTCACGAAATGGGGTACAGTACCCTGGCTCAGAGCTATACACCAGACACATCCGAAGAACCCAGCTCCCCAACAGAAAGAATGTTCACTATTGACCCCAAAGTCTATGGGGATAAGAGAGAACTTCACAGTAAAAATAAAGATGATCTGACTCTGAGCAGGAGTTTGGGACTTGGGGGGAGATCTGCAATTGAACAGAGAAGTATGTCTATTAACTTGCCCATGTCTTGCCTGGATTCAATAGCTCTAGGATTTAGCTTTGGTCGTGCACATGATCTTTCTCCCCTGGCTTCAGATATTCTAACTAACACTAGTGGAAGTATGGATGAAGGTGATGACTACTTGCCAGCGACCACACCAGCACTGGAGAAGGCCCCCTGCTTCCCCATTGATAGTAGAGAGGAAGATGAGCACATTGCAGAAGAAAAAGCAACACCAGAAGAAAAAGTCCAACCTGAAACCTCAGTTGAATCATCTTTCCAGGCCAAAGATTATTACAAAAATGGGGCTGTCCTGGCTCCTGACCTGCCTGAAATGTTAGACTTGGCAGGGACAAGATCTAGATTAGCCTCTGTGAGTGCAGATGCTGAGGTGGCGCAGAAGAAGCCAGTTCCTTCTGACGCTGTTGTGGAAGACAGCAGCACAGCCCTGCCACCTGTGACAGATGAAAACCACGTAATTCTTAAAGCTGAAAGTCAGCTGGAAGACTTGGGCTACTGTGTTTTCAATAAGTACACAGTCCCACTCCCTTCTCCAGTTCAGGACAGTGAGAATTTAACGAGTGAAACCTGTCCCTTCTACGAAGGCACAGATGAAAAACTGAGACGCGGCTTGGCTCCCGACTTGTCTTTAGTGGAAGTGAAGCTGGCAGCCGCTGAAAAATCAAAAGAAGAATTCCTTAGGGAAAAGGACTTAAGTCAGCATGGTGAGTCAATTCTGGTGAGGGACTTGGAGCAGGAGAAAAAAGAGAAGCTAGATACTGTGCTAGAAAGAAGTGAATATCAAGTTGACTCTAAAGAGGTCTGTCCCATTAAAGGAGCAGAGCCAGAGAAGACAAGAGCTGAGGCAATGTCAGAAAGGAAAGAAGAAAGTGTGACTGGTAAAGTTCATTTACCTGGTGATACCATGTTTGACAGAATACCTGCTTCACAGATAGCAGTAGAAAAGGATTCTGTTTCTTTGTTGATAGAGAAAGAGAAGACTCTTAGTGTTGTTCCTGAAATAGCTGAGACAGAAACTTTGGTAAAACCAGATTACAATGCTATAAAGCACGATATGGAAGTAGCTGCAAGGAGAGCTGACCAAGAAAATCAGAGTCAGTTAGATGCTAAGATTGGTGAGGTTGTTTCCTCTGTTAAAAGAGCAGAGGCTGAACCCAAAGACGCTCAGCAGAAAGATGAGACCATGTTCTCCAGAGAAGCAAAGGATGCAGATCTGCTTTCCAAGACCGAGCCTAGTTACATGAAGGATGGCACCAAACTGTCAGAAACAGAAATTAAGGAAAAAGTTCCTAAGCCTGATCTGGTACATCAAGAGGCAGTTGATAAAGAGGAGTCTTACGAATCTAGTGGAGAGCATGACCAAGCCCAAGAAGGTTTGAATGGAGAATCTGTGAAACCAGAGGATGTCAAAGCAGAACCTCCAAAACCTCCCATGTCTGGGGAAGAGTTACCTGCAGAGTTACCAGCAAAGGAGACTTCTATGGAGCAGCTCCTTTCCAAAGCTGAGCATCTCCGGGAAGAGCCTGCTGAGATCCAGATGGAGAGCATACCACAGCCTGCAGAAGGAGCTGAAAAGATTCCTGATACAGCTGTGAAACCTATGGAAACCCAAAAGCTGCTGCCATGTGAAGTGGCAGCTGGGGCCACAAAGGGGGAAGAACACAAGGAAGAAGAGGTGGAAGTAGAGCAAGAAGAAAAAGAAGAGGATAAACAGCATCTTGTATCAGAAATGCCCCCAGGCTTTGGGGAGCCTGCTGCTGAAGAAATGCTAGCCAAGGGTAGCCCAGAAGCAGTGCCTGAACTGAAAGGCATTATTGAATCGGTGGTGACAGTGGAGGATGACTTTATCACAGTGGTGCAGACAACAGTTGATGAGGGTGAATCTGCTTCTCACAGTGTGCGCTTTGCTGCTACTCAGCAAGAAGACATCGAAACAGGAGACTCCCAGGCTGAAGAGGAGCTGGAGGTTGAAGAAGTGGAAATTGAACCCAAGGAGGGCTCCCCAGAGGCTCCTGCTTCACCCCAGAGAGAAGAAATCCTGCTCACCGACTACAAGACAGAGATTTGTGATGATTACAAAGATGAAACAACAATTGATGACTCCGTCATGGACACAGACAGTCTCTGGGCAGACACTCAAGGTGTGCATTATCCTTTCTGTTTTGTCTGTTGAATATTTTTGCTTCCAAATCATAGTGATTGAAAAGCAAAATTATTACAGTTATAGTAGTAATCTCAGCATGTTTCAGAAAAATGGTAAAAATAGTCTGCCTTTTTTTTTTTTATTGTCTGCTCTGTCTTCAACTGTTTTTCCCCCTGCTCCACCACAGTATTGTTAACATTTGTTACTAATCTTTTGTTTGTTGTTACAATTTGCTCTGATCCTACAGATGATGATAGGAGCATCATGACTGAACAGTTAGAGACTGTTCCTAAAGAGGAGAAGGCAGAGAGAGAATTGCGAAGATCATCTCTCGATAAGCATAAAAAAGAGAAACCTTTTAAAACTGGGAGAGGCAGGATTTCTACTCCTGAAAGGAAAATAGCTAAAAAGGAGCCTAGCACACTCTCCAGAGATGAAGTGAGAAGGAAAAAAGGTTCATATACCACTCCCTATTACAGTATTTTTTAAATTTGTTTTATTTTCTTACTGTTTTACAATACTACGCGGTTAATCTCTTGTACACAATATGCACCGTAACAGTATTAATGGTGGTGTTTTTTTAATGAGACATTGTACAAATATATGAGAAGCCATGTGCAAGGCTCACTGCTCCACTGGCCCTGTTTCATTACAGACATCCCCACTGGCCACCGGGTAACGCATGTGAGTTAATGCACTGGCGCTTCCCCTCTTCGACGTTGCCCCCAGTAAAAGCGGCGCGTTGGGTTGGAGCTGTGGAGCAGTGGGCCTGCCACTTGATGTGTCATATGAAACTGTTTGCTGGGTTTTTTTCCTGATTCTGTGTTTTTGTGTTCTTTTTGTCCGTAGCAGTGTATAAGAAAGCTGAACTTGCTAAAAAAACTGAAGTTCAGGCCCACTCTCCCTCCAGGAAAATCATTTTAAAACCTGCTATCAAATATACTAGACCAACTCATCTCTCCTGTGTTAAACGGAAGCAGACAGGTGACTGCATTCTGTTCAGTTATGCAATGTGGCTGGCAAACATAGACATTTTCTTTTGTAAATCTCATGGCTATAGCAGCTTCTCTATTTTTTTTTTTCCTCCAAGAATATCAATCTTCACAAATAGTACTTTTTTTCTTTTTTTTAGTGTTTTGTACCATTTTTTCTTTTCTTCTTTCTTTCCTGGTATTTGTTTATTTGATAGAGGCCATGATCATGTATGCTTGTCGTTGCTTGGGCCTCCAAGTGCTGTTGTTGTAACTTGGCATCGTGCTTAGAGTGTGGTGTTCTAGGAATCTCTACTCATCATTCTATTCTTTTTTTTTTTTTAACTGACTTTTTTTTTCTGGTGGGAAAATGTTGACAGCTTAAACCATGGTATGCATTTCCATTATTTTGCTTTTTTACTCTCATGCATAATAAGAAGTGTTTCAGACTTATATTTTTGCTGATTGATGTTATCTGCATTGACAATTCCCAATCTGATGTTTATGCTGTACAGTCAAAATCCACAGGGGGAATCCAGCCACATGCAGCATGGAGCCGAGAGAGAAGAAATCTGGGCTCACACTACGAAATGCATTCCAAGCAAAAATCTTAATATTGGTAGAGGAAGATGAAAGGAAGAAACAAATGATTCCTGTTACAACTTGATAGGTGTATCATTATTTGGAGGACCAAAAGAACTCTTTCAGCATTTTCTTCATATTATTCATTGTTCCTGTGAGTTCAGGGTGGAAGGATGAATATCTTGACTTTAATTGGTGATCTTAAAAAAAATGCCCAGCTAAAAGAGGCCAGGTTTTCTGTCACATAGCACAAACACATGCTGCAGTGGGTGTTTGAGTGAAACCAGGGCTATTAAGAGAAGAACAGTGCAGAACTGCATAGGTCTCTTCTCATGGCTTAGAAATTAATGGGAAGATTTATTACACATCGTGTGGTTAAACAGAGCAATACCAAAAGTGTCCCTAGGAAGTCATTCCAATCTAGTTTTACACCATTGAGTCACTCCTGTTCTAAATGTAGACCAGACTCAGCAGGGAGGTCTGACTAGGGAAAATACAATAAGAAGATATGCAAGTTATAAGATATGCAGATATTTCTTAAGAAGATGCGCAGATAAGTTATGCAAGAGTAGGTTTAATGCCATGCCTCAGCTGTGGGAAGGTTGTATTGTCTACTGGTTGTCTTCCATTATGTTGAGTTGGAAGGGACCCACAAGGATAATCAAGTCCAGCTCTTAGCCCTGCACAGGACCATCCCCAAGAGTCACACCATGTGCCTGAGAGTGTCATCCAAATGCTTCTTGAACTCTGTCAGACTTAGTGCTGTGACCACTTCCCTGGGGAGCCTGTTCAGTGAGCAGCCACCCTCTGGGGGAAGCACCTCTTTCCAATATCCAACCTAAACCTCCCCTGACACAACTTCAGGCCATTCCCTCAGGTCTTGTCACTGGTCACCAGAGATCAGTGCCTGCCCCTCCTCTTCCCCTCACGAGGAAGTTGTAACTGCAGTGAGGTCTCCCCTCAGTCTCCTCTTCTCCAGGCTGAACAGACCAAGTGCCCTCAGTCACTCCTCACATGGCTTCCCCTCAAGGCCCATCACCATCTTCGTTGCCCTCCTTTGGATGCTCTCTAATGGCTGAATATCTTCTTATGTTTCAGTGTCCAGAAGTGCCACAATATTCCAGGTGAGGCCGCCCCAGGTCAGAGCAGAGCAGGACAATCCCCCCCCTCGACTGGCTGGCGATGCTTTGCCTGATGCCCCCCAGGACATGGTTGGCCCTCCTGGCTGCCAGGGCACTGCTGACTCAGGGCCAACTGGCCATTGACCAGGACCCCCAGGTCCCTTTCCTTGGCACTGCTTTCCAGCACCTCGTTCCCCAGTCTGTCCATACATCTGGGATTGCCCCATCCCAGGTACAGAATCCTGCCCTTCCCCTTGTTGAACTTCCCATGGTTGGTGATTGCCCAGCCCTCTAATTTGTTGAGGTCTCTCTGCAGGGCCTCCCTGCCTTCGAGGGAGTCAACAGCTCCTCCCAGTTTTGTGTCATCTGCAAACTTGCTCAGTGTCCCTTCCAGTCCTGCGTCCAAGTCATTTGTGAGATGCTGAAGAGCACAGGGCCCAAGATGGAGCCCTGCAGAACCCCATAGTGACAGGTGGCCAGTCTGATGAGCCAATTGCTCACCCACCACATGATGTGTTTATCCAGCTCTGGGCTGGACATTTTGTGCAGAAGGATCCTGTGAGAGTCACTACTGAAAGCTTTACTGAAACCTCAAAAGATTACATCAGCTGGCTTCCTGTGATCAGCTAGGTGGGTTACCTTGTCAGAGAAGGAAATCAGGTTTGATAAGCAGGACTTTCCTCTCATGAAGCCTTGCTGGCTGTGACTGATGACAGTGTTGTCTTTGAGGTGTTTTTTCCATACTTCCCAGAATAATCTTCTCCATAACTTTACCAGGCACTGAAGTCAGACTGACAGGCTTGTAGTTTCTGGGGTCCATCGAGAATTTTTTTCACTGTTTGTAGCAAGGTCTGAGAAAAAAAACATATCACATCTAGCTGTACACCCCTCCTCATCCTCCTCTACATCCTCTTCCTCCCCCTGATCCCACTACAGGGCTCAAGTCCCCAACTCTGAGTCACTGAAACTCTGAATTCCCACATTTTAATTTATGATAGATTTTTCTTTTTCTTGCCCTTCTTCGAAATCAGGACAATATTCACCAGCTTCTGGGTGGGACCTCTCCAGATTCCCAGGACCAGTCAAAAAACATGGAGAGAGGTTGTGCAATGATATCAGCAGGTCTTTGAGGATTCTGGGATGAATCCCAGGGGATCATACTAATTCTCTGGGCAGCCTGAAGTCTGCTCTCCTCATGTCCAGAGTTGAGATTTTGCTGGAGCTTTTCCTCCTGTTAGCAAAGATTTTGAACTTAATGGCTTCGTGGTTGCTGTGGCCAGGACGGCCCCCAATCTCTGCTTCGCTCACGAGATCTGCTCCATTGACAAGCAGCAGATCAAGGAGGTCATCTTTTCCAGTCAGCTTCCTGAAGACACCACACCTTGCTCTCGCGACTGACTCTGGTCCTTCTACTTGCCCCTCTCAGGAGAAATGGAGTGAGGGAAGGAAAGGCTGGTCCATGCCCCTCTGAATTGCACTGATGGCTCCTCCTCAGTTTGCAGTCTCTGGGCTCTCCTAACTTTCACTCTAGACCAGAACTTACCCAAGAGTGAGGAATGTACAAAAGGATTAAAAACAACCCTTCTTGCTTTTTCTTGCTGTTTGCTGAAGCACAGCTTGATAGCTCAGAAGTCATGACCCATAATTCACATATTCTTTCAAAAGCCCCAGGGAGTTCAATAGGCTGTGGAAATGGGGGGAAAATAATGTAGGCTTTTTAGTGTTCTCAACTTCATCTAGACCTCTACAGCCATGTGGTCATGCTGTTTTGCCCTCAAGTACTTTACTGCTACCTCCTCTGAATTATTCTGGCCCATAGCATCCTGGAGAGGCCTGAGTCATACAAATGGACTTGCATAAGGAAATCTGCCCTGTGCCTTAAATGTGCACTGCCTGGCAACAGTCAGAGCTTTTTCTCTCTCACTCCAATACATAGTAAAGCAGATATATTAGTCAAAATGAAAAGTACAATACAAAAACTACCTTCCCGTACTTTTAAATCCTGAGGTGGAAAGCAACCAAAATGATGGACATAAAACTAATGAGGTTTGAGCTCTAAAGCAGAGGAGCTTGAACCATGCCACAGAGTGAACAAAAATATCTCTTAGAATGTTTCAGCGTCCTCATTGTTGCTGGAAAATTTACAGTATCCATTATTTTCTTCTACCTCACGTTTTTGTACTTCCTGATAGGACTCGAGGGGAAGCCATGAGAAAGAGTGCAAAGCTATGTGATACTCTAAGAGTGCACGTGGCCCATATGTTATCCTGTGTATCATTGAGCTTGAGCCTGTCATTCAGCTCTTTCCAAGATCTGGAATCTAGGACGTTGTCTCTTTCCGATTTTCCTTTTTTCTAAAATCTAGCACCATTTCTTGAAGCCAGTTTTGACTGTCAGTGCTTCCTGATTGGAGTGGTCTTGTCAGCTTTAGTGATGCCTGGCTAATGCAGCCCCCCAAAAGTCACTTGGCAGTGTAGTCTATAGAGCTTTGAGTGTGTGGCAGTCAGTTAAAATGTCCATGTTGCATTTATTGTGACTTTAAAATGAAACATGTCCAGTTATGATACAACCAAAATAAGATTATAAGATATAAGAAATAAGTTATTAGATACTACCAAAAAAAGTTGATATTTGCTTTTATTTTCTGTGTAGTGGCCCAACAAATTACATCTTTCCCGTAATGCCCCTCAATAGCAGAAAAAAAAATTCCCATATCACTGGTAAGCACTGGCAAATACCAGTAACTTAGATCAACATATCCACGAGGGAGGGGCTGCTTTTTGAGAGGCTCATCCTTGACATTTGAAAAAGAAACTGTGTGGCCAGCCCAGAGGAAAGAGTTGTGAAGTCTTTGCCTTGACTGGTGTAGCTCCCATGAGGGAAACCCCAGCCTGGATTGTTTTGTCAGAGGCTGTGAAATGCCACTGCAGCTCTGCCACCAGAGGAGTGCTTTGGTGACAAGGCCAGAACAATGACCTGGCTGTGACACACTTCTGTTCCTTGTCTTCAATTCTGGGGTCACCCCCCTGAGGTAAAACATGTTTGTTGTGTGTTTAAGCCACAGGGCCTGTAGAGATCTTGTGTTCAGATGGTGAAGTTGTGGTGCTTTCAGGTACATCAGCACAAGCAGCTCAGCACAGTCACAGTGGTGACTGGTTAGTGTTCAATGCTAGGAGGAGGAGGAAAGAAGCTATTTGCAATTATTTAATCAGAGAAGAGATGCAAACCAGACCCAAACCAGCAGTAACAGATGTGATAAAGTGTGACATGGAAGGGCTGTGTTGTATTTATCCCTGTTACAAATTCAGAAGAACTGAAGTGCACAGTTATATATTCTTTTCCTCCTCACAAGTTTTCTCTCCTACTCCTCAATTTTTTTAAGTGTATATATATATATATATATATATATATTAAGAGGGCAGAACTAGAGTGGGAAGTGTGACAGAAAACCAGGGGTGATCTCATTACACCTGGGAACCACGCTGGAAAAGGAAAAAATTAACCTGACCTGTCCTGCATGAGGCATTAGGGTTGGTTTTAGGGTTGGAAAACAGTTGGGTTCATAGCAGAAGGTTGTCATTTGTGCCTGTTGTCCTTGCTTCTGTGTTTACCAAGGGCATCCTGGCACAGGTATCAGACGATTTCACATCTAATTTTTGTGTGGTACATCACTTCCTGAGTGGCAGCACTAGGGTGAAGCTTTCCAAAAAGCTGCCCCATTCAAAAACTTGAGATGGAATCCTAAATCAAAAAGAAAAATCTTATCTCAAACCGTGTTGCATCAGATAAATGAAATACTGAATCAACATACTTGATGTCCCAGATATAAATTGGATTTCTGAAGTCTAGGGGCTTAGTTGACCTTGTTGACACAACTAGGATGATAATTCAGCAGTGAATCTCTCTCTTTCCATTAGGAATGTTGGCTAATATGTTAGAGGCCTCTCTTAAAATTTTAGTTTGTGGGTGACTTAAAGGTGCCTAATTTTTAGAGGACAGTCCTGAAAATCAGAATACTAAGTTGTCTGAGGATCAACCTTCAGACCAGAGACTCTTTTAGCTGTCAGCTATTTCTTGAACTTTTTTAGTTTCTAGACTTCTAGGAATATGAATACAAAATTTCAATTTGTTTGAAACACGTACCATTTTACCCCAAGTAAGATGAATACAGGAAATTACTAAGTACATTTCTGTATACAGTTCAGTGAGAGTAATTCACAAAGTACTTGCTTTGCACGTGAGTTCCAAGGCATTTAATTGTTCTATCAAATGTACTAAATAGAAATGCTTCTTATTATTGTTTTTAACTATCAAGTCTTTCTTTGGGTTTCTCAGCAGCAGGTGGTGAAACAAACCAGGCTCCTGGTGTATTTAAACAAGCAAAGGAAAAACTCTCAGTGAGTAAAATCATCTTATTGTTCATCTTTATAATCTCCCTTTGTCCTTATTTCACATTTTTTTGTGTTAATTCAGTAAGTAATTGTGTGTTTCATTTAAAATTGGTTTGCCATATTCATTCTTCATTGAAAAGGGTAATTAAAACCACCTTTCCTGAATAACCTCTGAAGCACAGTCCCGGGTAGCAGTTGGTGACAGTTTGCAGATCCACGGGGGCCACACAGACTCCAAACTGCAGGAGCTGGAGTCTGATCAGCATTTTGAGCCATGTCATCCTGTGGGATAAGCTGTGCACCTTGGCCCTTTCTGCAGAGTCAGATTTGCATTGCAGCCTTGCTCGATTGCTGTGAAGGCAGAAACCCTCCTCCAGGACTCACTGTGTGTCTTCATTCCATAGCCAAGAGTTCTGCAGAGGCCAGGCCTGTGTGGAAGTCAGTGGCCAGTAGAATTTATAAGTGACTCAGTGCTTTGAGAGTGGCCATTTCCTGGGCTGCTGATTGCTGCCTGTATTCCAGCCTGAGTTAGGTGCCCTGCCTTCAACTGCTCTACAGCCTGTTCTGCCCTCTTTGTCTGGCCCTCCTCAGCAAGTGCTGCCTTACTCTGTGCTGACCCTATGCTCTTTCTGTCCCATCATTCCAAAATCCCCAGGAAACCAACCTTCATTCTCTCTCCCCATGCAAATATTCTTTCTGTGACACTGACACATGCTAATTCACATCTGCAACACAGCAATACTTTGTCATTGTCAGCCATCATTAACAATTAAGAAGTTCCTTACAATTCCTCTAAATTTCCTAATATACTTCCTAATATATTCCATGGCTGATTTGTTTCATCTGTTAAACCAGATTGTCAGTTCTTTGGGGAACAAAAAGCTCTGTCACATGAAGTGCTCCACACTATTTATGAATTGCACAAAACTGTTAGTGCTGAGAGCAGCATAACTGAGTGGAGGCTTTGGAGGAGCCATGGTTTTTCAGGTCTGACCCATTTCAGACCCATAACTGGGGAACTGTTAGAGCTTCTTTACAAGTTCAGTGAGAAATACCTGGGCAGGTTTCTGGGCTGAGTCAACAGTATGTTTCATCACGGTCTTTTCTTGGGGGATGATCAACACACAAGAGAGTCAATACTTGAGCAATTTTCAGTGCTCGTGGAGTGCTCTAAGTATAAGCACTGCAAAATCATTCTGTGCAATTATTGTTCTATACACCTTTCGTTTTTCTGCCCTCTGTGTTCTAGCAAAGATTAGAAGTCTGTCCCCTGCTTACCTGCTCTCCTTGCTGCCTCACCTCTCTGATTGCCACATGCACACAACTCTTGGACATTTTCTCTTCTGTGCCTTGTCTTTGTCTCTGCTTTTATAAAGATCTGTCCCTTTTTTTTGTTGCTCTTTTTTCTTTGGGATTTTCAGCTTTTATGTCCTTCAACTGCAGCCTTTTCCTCTCCACTGGTAATGTTAGATCATCCAACCCAGTCAATTTTGTTGTCCATGTTCAGACTGCAGTTTACACACTGCTTTGCAGAACAAGTTCAGGGAAGGCTGAGCAGTTCCATCTGCTGGAAGGAGCTGTGTACCTGCAGTTCACAGCAAGATGATGAGAACACCTGTCATGTGTTAGGAACACCTCTGAAATAAAGTGAGAGTTCTGCATCCCCACTTCAGCAATCCACGAGTTTCAGTCAGGGTCACATAGATCTTTTTGGGCAGCTGGCCCTTCCAGCAGAGGTCAAAGGTAATGTGTTGCTAACAGAGAAGCAGAGTTTTCTGGGCAAAGCACAGGCAGGGACTGAGACATGGTTTCTTTGCTTGTTCTGCCGTCTTTGAGCATGTTACTTAGGTCTGGTTAGGCCAGATTCTGCCACTATTACTGATGCTAAAAAGTGCCTTGCTCCCCAAATAACATGAGGGGGATCTGGACTGTGATAGTCTCGGAGCAGTGCACTAACTCAAGGTCATGCCTTTTCCCCAGCTGTTCCACTGGCAGATCTCAGTGTCATCCATCTTTAGCATGCCCATTAGATCCAGGTATTCACAGAGAACACTGTGCCATGTGAGTGAAAAGGATGATGTCTCTGCACTGGGACTAAAATCTTAGTCTGTAAGAGTTTTCTCTTACAGAATGTTTTCCTCTTGTTATAGGGGAAACATTTTGCATGATCCACAAATTGAAAAAGGCAGAAACCACTGAATGAACACTTGGACCTCAGACTGTGCATGCTTAGTTACATCTCAAGTTAAGAAAGCCAACTGAAAAGTGTTCACAGAATGTCTGCTTCTTGGGACCACCCACCCACCTGCTCCCACAGAGTTTCAGCATAATAAACACCTTAGTGGGTTTGTAAATTGGGCCCAGAGTTTCACAGGTGGATGAGACCCATAAAGTGAACTATGACAAACCAGTCGAAGTCCAGAGAAGCCTTTGATGTGACAGGAACACATATTCCACAGTTTCTGTGTAAAATAATTATTCACTGGTTTTTCAGAGGCATAAATATGTCGCAAAACTCATTCTAGGAATACATTCTTGATAGTAAAGTACTTCCATCCTTTGAACTAATTCCTTGTCTTGCTACTTGATATGGATGATGGCATCCAGTAGAACTCCTCTCAGCTGTGTTGTAGGACTGGAAATGTTTGTTAGGCAGTTCTGCAACTCTTAATCATGTGGGTGATGTCATGGATGACATTCAGCACACTAGTCTCAGTTTTACATAGGTTGGGTATGCAGCTTAAGCCAGCGGCCTGTCAGGGCTGGACTGCCCATTCTTTTCTCATTTTCTAATAAAGAGCAACTCATACACTTTTTCTGATAGTTGAGAAAGTCTAGGGGATGAACTTAGATCAAATGCCAAGTTTTCTGTGGCTCAAATTCCATACTAGTCCCAGAATGACTTGCTCATTGGGATTGTTCATATGTGTAATTTCATGTTAGTATGACTACAGAGAGAATCAGGACTACCAAGGTAACACCCTAGCAGTTGTTCTTTGTAGTATCTGTGGAAGAGAAAAAAGTGTTGCTTAAGCAAGTAGTCCTATTCTATTTCAAGGAAATTCCTATTTGTAATGCAGTTAGGTGCTCCTAATTGTCAACAAAGATTTTTCTATCTATCCTGTTGGATTTTAATTGTTCTTTCAACGGGACGTTGTTTTCCAGAAACAAACAAGTATCTGTTCACAAGGACATATCATGTCAGCTTTTCAACCACATGCAGGTTTCCTTATCCCAGCACCCCACACTGTCAATATAGATTTATGAATTTCTGTGGATGACACCAAATGCACAGAATGCAGTATCTGAAGTGCAGTAGGGATTTTGTCTGTACACAGTGGCACAAGAAGCAATACTGTCTTGTCCTCTTGCTGTTGTGGGAATATAACTGTTACCACTTTACTTTTAAGATTCCCACTGTTTTATTCTTGATTGTAACCTGGAGGGATATATTTCAAATGCACAACTTTAAAGGACTGGGATCTCTTGGTGCTCCTGGAGCTTTGCACTTGTTTCTAATGCAGCCAACCAGCAGTTGTACCAGTTAAATGTCACTCCTGGCACCAGCTTTGTTCTATTAACACAAGACCAAAATAGCATGTGGAGAAAAAGGCACTTCCTCAAGTCAGTGACTCAGACCCAGATGGTTTCAGTCAAACAACACAAACCTGAAAATTCCATGCAAGTCAGATCTGCGCAGACACATTACCAGACACAGGAAAAGTATTAATTCATAGCTCGGCTTTTTATTTTTGGTCCATGTTGTGTGCATTTCCCTTTTGTTTAGCTTCATGTTGTGTTTTCTTTTGTTTGTTTTCTCATGACTAGACTGCTTCTTTGTCAAAGATTCCTGCCTCAAAGTCTAGAGCAAAGTCATTGCTTCCTCCAAGACCCAGCTCAGCTTGCTCATTAACCACTAAAAGGGCCACTATTCTCGATACAGACAGTTACTATGTTCAGCCCTCCTCAGCAGGCCCAAGAGACCCAAAAACAGATGCTAAGGTAAGGTTAGCAGAGTTTGGAGAGAGAGGTCGGAGATTGTAGGTAAACTCCATGGATCATATTTTCTACCCACTGAATTTGAGTAATTCTTTGTGAAGCTTACGTGGGATTACTTACATCCAGTGGCAGGAAAACTGATTATCAGGCTACAAGACCTGTACTAGAAAATGGATAAAAACGAAGGAGATTCATCAGAGGAAACAGAAGTGCCAAAAGTTATAACTAGAAAGACGTATCTTCTTTCTGTGGATGATATGGATGCTGCTTTATTGACTGCTAAGAAGTTACACCCGTTTTCATGTGAGTAAGTGGTAAAGAACAGCAGGACTGATTTGCCTTCCGAGTTTAAAAAAAAATGTAATTTTCAACCAATTAATATTCTTTGAAATCTAATTAAGTCCCCAGTGTAGGAGGGAACAGTTCTAATCACCAGCAATAAGGGCAGAATCCAAATGCTCTAGGAATCAAATTTAGTCAATGCATAGGACTTTGTTGAAGAAGTTGCAGGATAAGTTTAATAACATGTTTGGCAGTCCATCACACCTTCCCTGTGCTTACATTTCACTTGTGTTTGAAATCTACATTATGCTGATTGACTATCCCCATTTAAAAAGTGTTTTCACTGTTGACTTCCATTTTCTTTGTAATACGGTGCTTGCTGTGTCTTTTACTGATTGGGATCATCATCATTTGTTTTTGGGAAGAATATCTGCTTATGCAAGATTGTCTTTGGCTGCCCACCCCCTAAGTTCAAAAATATTCTAATATACATGTCCATTGCTCTAATGGTAAAGAGAGGTTTACTTTGCCATGGTAAAGAGAAGGTATGCACTGATTTCAAAAAGTAATAATTTTAGTACAGAAGGAAATAAAACACTAGGATTGATAATGCTGCACCAAAAAAAAAAAAGTGTAGCTAAAAATTTTTCTCCATAAAAAACTTACAAGTTAGTGTTAGTGTTCAAAAATGAAAAAATCACACAACACCCAACAAGCTACCGTGGGGGGTATTCTGGGCACACATAGTGCAGTTACTTTGCAGGTAAACTCACATAGGAATTTCACACTTGAGCTTAAGAGAATTCTTTTACTTTGAACTTGAATTTGCATTAAAAGCAAACCTTTTTAAGAGCCCAGTGTGGAATCCATCCATATTTAGATCCAGGAGTATCCATTTGTGTCTTGGGTAGCTCAGAAATGGCTGTCAGGTGTTTCCATGCAGTAAAGAAGCACCAAGGAGCAAAGCAGAGCATGGAAGGGGACTGGGTCCCCACAGGTTCCTGTGTGAGGAGTAAACTGAGCCCATAGGCTGAGGTTTAGCTCTCTGTATATAGACTGAGAGAAATCACAGCCCACAGAGTGAGTTTTGAAAATTAAACCTCCCTTTTCTATTTTACTGCTATCAGGATGGAGTAAGCAAGAGTCCCGAGAAGCGTTCCTCTCTACCGAGACCTTCCTCTATCCTTCCTCCTCGACGAGGTGCATCAGGAGACCGAGACAGAGAGGAGAACTCTCTCTCCCTCACAGCTTCTCTCTCCTCTTCAGTACGACGGACCACCCGTATGTTTTTTTGCATATTAACCTTCTCCTCCTGTTGCGGGTGTCTCCGCCATTGTTACATTTGTCACGTTGCCATAGCAGGATGTGTGCCTACCTTTGACACTGAGGGGTAGGTCTAGGGTGTGCTGTTGGAAATCAGAGCCCCACAGGCTGGTTTTGTTCAGATACCAAGTGCCTGAAACTGGGGACGGGATGCACCTGCAATGCCCAGAGCCAGGACTGCTGCCCAGACTAGTAGAAGATGCCTTTGCAACGAGCACAGAGCTGGGTGCAGTATTTAACATGCAGCATTTACAAACAGCAGCAAGAAGTAATGAGTCAAAACTGAAGAAGGCAACACAGAATGTTCTGAGGGATCTTGGAAAAGTGAACGTGATAGTTACAGTCATTAGTTTGCTGTTTCCCAGTAGTTACCTTCCTGTACTCTCATCCTAGGATGAAATCTCTGCTGAGAATTGAATGTTAGCTAGTGGAGTGACTCACTGGCAGGAGCTGGGATAGTGAACCAGCTAGGTCCTTTTATGAGGACCAAAGATACCAGATCACAAGTGAAAAGGAATTACAGGTCAAAGAGAATTTTACCAAAACCCCCAGAATTTTCAGCTAGATTTGCATTCAGCCCAGGCCTCAGAACTCACATGTGGCTTCCTGCTTTCCAATAAGAATTCCTCTGTTTTCTGTCTTTAGAAACCAGTTCAACCCTTTTTAATACAGCTTAAGGGAAGTAGATTATTAAATTCTTCAAAAAAAAGTCCTTTGAAATTCCTGTGTGATGCTCCAAGAGTAAAACAGAGACCCTTTGTAAGCACAGTGCCCCCCAGCTGCCACAGCAGCCCATTCTTCTGACTGAGAGTGAGGGGCCATTGAGTATTTGCCAATGTAGTAAAGGGCTGAGGAAAGAAAAATAAATGTACCAAAGCTGCAAGGAGGTGGGGAAAAAAATTAATTCCCCGTCTGTCTCAGTTAGTGTAGTGAGAGGCTTTAGAGTTGGTTTGGAAAAAAATGTTCAGGGAAACTGGAGCTGAGGGAAGTATGTTCAGTGTATCTAATGAATAGTGTAGAGCAAAGAGTGTCCCCAGACCCCAGGGGCAGCAGTGTGTTAGGTTTGGGCCACCATCATTGTATAAACAGAACGGTTAGAAAATACTTTAAATAAGAATTTGCTTAGTCCCACTGGATGCTTTAGAGAGGCCCAGTGGATGTATAATTCCTGCACATCTTAAGGTGAAATATAACATGCTCCCATTTGGCGTTGAGGTTCCCAGGCCTGAGGGATTGCTCTGGTCCTTCTCTCCCTCAGTATTCTCAGCGAAGCTTTACTTTAAGCAGCACATGGAGATATCTCAGCTTCTGTTTATTTATATTTGAGAGTTAGGAGCAGAGCTGGCTGCAGAAAGCACAACTAAACTGATCCTTCTACTCAGTGAAAAGAACTGGCAATGCCATAAACACTGAATGAAGCTGCTACAAAATGATATAGTTGTTTGGGGTTTTTTGACTTGCATGCAGATGTATCTAGAATCTAATTTTATAAAGGTTGCCTCCTGTAATGGCTTTCTTTCACTGCACTAATGAAAACCAGCGACTGAATAGAAAGACATCTGCCTATCCACACAGCAGAGCCATGGCTTGTGCTCAGCTGAATGCCCACCCAGGGCTCAGCTGCAGATTACCAGCAGTGGCATGTGACCAGCAGCAGCCAGGCACTCAGAGCCTTTAGTTCCAGGAATACCATCAGAATTTTTCCCACTTTCTCTTTTAATGCCCAAATCCACTGAAATTGGTGACAGCATTCTCACTGGCTAGTCAGGTTGTTGATCGGATCAAGTCCCAAAGGTTAGATTCCAAGGGTGCTTCTTATCCTTTCCCCAAAATGGAAGTGTGATGTTGTGCCTCATTTAGCAAGCTTTGCAGGAAGCATAGGTGTTGTGGGAAGCAGCTATGTTACAGAATGGAGAGCTCAGTCACTGTGTGTGGGCAATGGCTCAACCTCTCAAGGCAGGGTAACTCCTGGCAGGTTGATTAGCAAAGGAAGGCACAGAGACAGACATACAGGCTGCTGTTCTTGCTTGGCACACAGGAACGATCTTGGGAGTACAAAGGGAAGAAGAGATGTATTTCTGTGCCCCTAATGCTGTTTTTCTTTCTTTCATGTAGGATCAGAGCCAATTCGTAGCAGAACAGGAAAAAGTGGAACTTCTACCCCCACTACTCCTGGCTCCACTGCCATCACTCCAGGGACACCACCAAGCTATGCCTCCCGTACCCCAGGCACCCCAGGGACACCCAGCTACTCCAGAACCCCCCACACTCCTGGGACCCCCAAATCTGCAATACTGGTACCTACTGAGAAAAAAGTTGCCATAATTCGCACTCCTCCTAAATCTCCAGCCACTCCAAAGCAGCTACGAGTTATTAACCAGCCTCTACCTGACCTCAAGAATGTCAGGTCCAAAATTGGATCAACGGATAATATCAAATACCAGCCTAAAGGAGGGCAGGTATGGATTCCACTCATTATGTTCATCCATGTGCAGATAATCTTATGTGTGCAATTCTGGGAGAGCCATTTTGAGTCACCTTGCAAAGCTGCTTCTGTTGTCCATATGCCTTGATTGTTTAGGTAATGTTAAATGGCATGGACAAGGGCAATCTTCAGAAAGCATTTTGGGACCTGAAAACTAACAGTGCCTCATTGAGATCAGCTGAAAAAAATTCAAACAAGAGTTTGCACTCCATGCCATGGATACATTTCAGCCTGAGTCTCTGCAGTTGCTGCTTACTTAGTCTTCCCCAGTACCAGCAAATAAAAGAGACTTGGTTTAATTTAAGCGAGTTGAAAAGCAACCCAGATAGATGTGAGCAGGATCACATAGCACCATTGCTCTTTACTGTGCCATTTTATATGGCATGTGCATTGTGTTGAAGTTAAGGAGGGTTGCAGCCTCCAACCTGGTAAATCCACCCCAAGTTAAAGATGGTGGAAGGAGGCAGACTTAACTGTTCTTCTTGCTGCAGGGTTTGAATAAGCAGGAATAGGGCTTAAACTGTATAAACTAGAGGGTGTTTATAAGAAAACTGTACACATAAGAATGTGTAATAAGACAGATCAGGATTTTCTTTTCTCACCTTCTGAAAGAACAAGAATTCTGTGACATCTTGATGTGATTAAAGCTGAAAAAAAGAGGTAATTTCGTACCTTGCAGTCGTGCAATGAAGCACATTGTCCTGAGGATTGCTTTCAGCTAAAGACTGAACATGTGTGTGGTGGCAAAATCCAAGGATCTCAGAATGCTTTGGGTTGGAGGTGACTTTGATGCCAATTTTGCCCCCAAAAAGGCACAGAGAACTGCTCAGAGACAAGAGTTAGTCTTTAAGCAGCGAGGTATATTTATTAGGCAACGTTGGAGAGCAGCCAGCTCGCGCTGGACAAACTGCTCTGTGTCTCCAGTGAATTTACAGGTGATTGCAACATGTTCACATACATATTCATATAATTGCAACATCTAATTAGAATATTCATAATAGGGGGAGTCTAGGTGGAGTCAGGGGCGTAGTCTTCAATTTGGGGAGAATTCAGGAGGGTCGTTCCTGTTTCTTCATCCCCTGGGGGTCGTATTTACTCCTCTTCCTCGGCTGAACTTTTCAACTTTCTGATTTTGGCAGACTTCATGGTGAATTTTGCAAGATTCTTGGACTCCAGCCCCACTTTGCCCCCTTATCTTACTTAGGTTGGGTGTGTGTGCATTCTTTCAGTGTACAGTACCACCTAATCTCTATCTCTGGGTTCTGGCAGTGCATCTTAGCTAAGTATTGGCAAAGTTCTTTGTGCTCTTGTTTATACTTATATTCCTATATTCTACTTATATTCCTTTATTCTACTTAGTAAACCTGTATTCTGACTTATATTCTGATTTTAACTCTCTACCTGCTTTCTAGGCTTTGTCTGGCTTCAACTTTAAAGATCATCTAGTTCCAACTCCCTCCCATGTGGCCTTGAACACTTGAGGAATTGGGCATACACCACTTCTCTGGGTAGCCTGTGCCAGTAGTGCCTCACCACTGTCACCATCAAGAATTTCTTCCTAATATCCAATCTAATCCTGCCCTCTGTCATTTTGAAGCCATTCCCCCTTGTCTTATCACTCCACACCCTTGTCCAAACTTCCTCTCCAGCTCTTTTGTTGCCCCTTAAGGCAGTGGAAGGGGCTCTAAGGCCTCCCTGGAGCCTTCTTTTCTCCAGGTTGTTCTCCAGGCTGAACAACCCCAGATCTCTCAGCCTGTCTTTGGTAGCAGAGGTGCTTCAACTCTTGGAGCATCTTCATGGCTCTCCTCTGTACTCATTTCAACAGGTCCATGTTCTTCCTGTGCTGGGAAGAGAGCTGGATGCAGCACTGTAGGTGGGGTCTCACAAGAGCGGAGTAGAGGGGTGGAGTTTCCTCTCTCGACCTGTGGGTCACTCTTCTTTTGATGCAGTCCATGACACAACTGGTTTCTGGGCTGTGCATGCACACAGCCAGGGCATGTCCAGCTCTCATCCACCAGCATCCCCAAGTCCTTGTTGGCAGGGACTCAGTCCATTCTCTGCCCAACCTGTATTTGTGCTTGGGATTATCCCGACCCTGGAGCAGGACCTTGAACCTGGCCTTGCTGAAATCCTGTTACTACAGACAGAACTTGCCAAACTTTGGAAAGGGTAGTAAAGATATAGGCTTTTAACTAACCAGAAGCTTTTGGAGACTGAGGGAAGATCAGAGAGGGAGCACCATAAATCTTCCTGAGGTATGATGCTTATACCTTCTTCTGAAGAGTCTGTGCTTGATGCCCTGCCAAGCAGAGCTATAGCCAGAGCTGGAATAGTCTTCCCTCATTTTTGGGCAATGCAGAAGTGCTAACACAGATGGCATTAAAAGCCAAAATCATGCCCAAGCAATTTGTCTTTCTATTTGGAAGGACTGTTACTCTGGCTTACAGGATGAAGAAATGCATTCTATTAATATTTAAAGATTTCTGAACCCAAATATATAACGTGAAAGAAATCCTGTTTTATTTAGAAACAAAGAGGCTGAATGAGGAAAGAGACTTAGCAACAGCTTACCAACATTTATGCTAAAAATATGGGCAACTGAGTCTTGTGGATGTGTTGATGTATTTTTTGTAAGGAATACCTGTGTATTTCATATTGATTCTGGACAGAACCCTATGACAAAAACACCTGGAACCCTCAGCTCCCTTTTACTTCCCTAGGATTGCTGAGTGAGAGCAGTGGCAATGTGAGTGCTGTATGAAAAGTTCACTTCTCAGGCTCCTCTAGGGACAGGACATCAGGGTGAATAACATGCTCCCCATTCAGCTGTCCTGGAAACGAGACATTCCAGAAGCTGGGTTGCACAGTGTTTCCTATATTGCATGAGTTTGGGAATTCATAGTGAAACTTAGAGAACAGTGAGGTTTGCCTAATGCTGTCTCAAAAAAAATAATAAATTGGATAAAAGTTAACATTGCAGCCTTGTGCCTGCTGCAGGTCTTCCAGAGAAGAACAGGCTTGTCTTTTAAACAGTAAGGTATCTCTTAGGCGTTGATCCTGTTTTCATGGTAAATTAACACATTCAGTGCTTTCAAGGATTTGGACAGTAGCCAGTTACTCATAAAATCAAGAAGATAATGCCTTAGCAAAGGTGTTCTGCCTGTATTTTGACAGGTGTCGGTGTAATTATTTTGTATGGGAGCTCCTCTCCTGTTTGACATATTGTGTAGCAGATGGTCACAGTGCAGGGGCTCCAGGAACACAAGTGCAGACTGAGCTTCTGGATTAGCATTCCTGATAACAGGCCCAGCTGCTGGACATGGGGCCAAAACCAGCACCGTGGTAGTCTGTCCTCCTCCTCCCTGGTACTCTCTCTGGACAGTAACAACTGTACAAGACCAGGGAGCCACAGCAGATTGTATTTCTTTGTTCACACCGTGCCTAGACAGCTACATTTCCTTAGCAGTTCTAAAGAATTGCACAGTGTTTGCTCGGCAGTGAAGGATGGCACAGCAGCTGGCACTTCTCTCCTGCAGGCATCACGGGGGACTCTCTCTGGACAGTAACAACTGTACAAGACCAGGGAGCCACAGCAGATTGTATTTCTTTGTTCACACCGTGCCTAGACAGCTACATTTCCTTAGCAGTTCTAAAGAATTGCACAGTGTTTGCTCGGCAGTGAAGGATGGCACAGCAGCTGGCACTTCTCTCCTGCAGGCATCACGGGGGATATCTCCTGAGTGGACACAGTGTCTCTGAAGTTAAAGCATTTTTTAGTTCCAGTGGTATGTGGCCACTGAGCCGTGGGTTGGGCAAAGAGAGACCCACTGAGTTTTTCCTTTATGTCTCATTTATGCCATAGTTGCTCAGTCTAGACAAGAGGTTTTAGGATAATTCTTCTCTGGTTTCTGCAGTTGGATTTTATAGGGTCTGTGAGAGGAACACATGAAAGCTAATTTCATTTCCTTGTGTCTGCTTCTTTAACGTCCGGTAGCAAATATTGCCCTGGCTGAAATGAGCTGTTCTTGGCTATCTGCTTTTAGTGTTGATACATGAAAAAAACAAAAAGCTGCTTTATAACCTGGACTGGAATTGCTGATAGCAACAACCACAGGAAAAACAAGCAGACAAAAAGCCAGCATATATCTAGACAAGTTAAGTACATAAACATGACATGTAAATCACTAAAGAAATACAGATATGCAGCCCAGAAATGTCATTTGGAGACAGACTATTGTTTTAGCAGAGGCATATCTGAACCTGGCACAAGGGCTTTTCTTAACTTTGAGCTGTCCTAGAGAAAGCTGCACTCTGAAACCTCCAGAGGCTGAGGTGCCGAACTGAAGAAGCAGGGGATTTTTGAATGCTAAATAAATCAAGAACTGCAGTGCTTCAGCCTTGAATTTCATCGAAAGCTTGTTAGACAGACTGATTTTACTTCAGCTCTGACTTGTCGGCCATAGAAACAAAAGGTGAGCAATTGTTCCACCTGACAGGGGTGGGGGGGGTTGGTAGTATGAAGCGCATGCTTCTAGGGGAAGAAGCAAGCTAACTCTGCACTGCATTAAGCTCCTACTAGGAATAGATGGCTTGAGATGTGTTTAATTGGTATTCTGCAGTCTGGAGAAGTGAGGGCTTCTCTGCTCTGTGATGCAGCCAGTAGGTGGTTGTCTGGTTTTCTCTTCACAGTAGAGTATGGTGAAATGTATAATTCTTGGCAGAGCTCAGAGGCGACTTGCTCATGGGTATGTCTGCTGGGCTTCAGATGGATTTTCACACTGCATCAGCTGTGGAGGAAATGCTGTGCTTTCAAAAGTAACCCATTTGCATCTGTTATTTCTCAGACAGCCCAAGGGAAGCATGGGGGAAGGGGCTGGAAATCCGTTTCAGATGTCAGGACTGGTTGGGGTTCATTTTTTTGGTTCAGATATTTTTCTCTTTTTGAAATTCTGTCTATGAATGGGGTTTGAACCG